CCCCTGTCACAGGATAAGTAACGCCATTGGCATTTGCAATACAGGTTCGTCGAGGTTGTGTAGTATTCAGAAAATCATCAGGATCAAACGTCATATGATCAGTTGCACCGGAATCAATTATCCAACTCCTGGAATCAATCTTATCGGAAGTATGGAATCCATAACCAGTACCATTACTGGTCGTATTGCATTGTCCTCGATCTTTAAGAGTAGCCCACCAATCGGGGTAGCCATGCAATTTAAAACAAGTCTCACGAGTGTGTCTCGGATCACCACAATATGTGCAATCTAGTCCATGTGTCGGTGTCGTTAGTCGAGAAGTCATAATCTGTGCAGCGGAAGATGCATAGGATATAGGTAGAGTAGGAATTCGGATCGGGATCTGAGCCTGAGTCGGGGCTAGAGTCGAAGTCGAAATCGGGATCGAGGTCTGAATCATAGACAAATTCGGGGTTGTGGTCATCATCGGAGTTGGGGTCGAGATCGTCTTCGGAGTCGGGGTCGGGGTCGTCGTCGTCATAGTCGAGGTCGGGGTTGTGGTCGTCGAAATAGGATCCTGATTCCTGATCGGGTTCGGGATCATCAAAATAGGATCCTGATTCAGGATCAAATTCGGGGCCAAAGTCTGCATCTGTAGGAGCTGAGCCATTTGGGCACTCAACTCTGGTATGAAAAAATTAAAATAAAGAGCAAGGATAGGTTGAGATTATTACCTTGATTGGAAGAGCAAACAACCTTGTAAGATTGAAAGGCAGGGAGGAGCGAGAATCTGAAAACCAAAGATGAGGTCTGCTAAAATATGAAAACTATAAGAGAATATTTGTTTGTGGGAATTTTCTATGTATTCTTCTCCTTGTAGGAGGTCATATTTATAATACAACAAAACCTGAATGGGCAAGTAAATAATAAATTCCTAAATCTATTTACAGTAGGAAATCAGGAATTAAAGTAAATCAATTACAAATAAAATAGGAATCCTTGGTGTGTAAGGAAAGTAAGTCAATATCCACAAGTCACGCCAACAGTGTTGACCATGGAATTTTTTTTTTAAAAAAGGCTATGCGCACAGCAAACAGCACAGCAAAGGAGGCTTCAAAGAGAACTTTTGTCAAACAAGTGGTGTGCATGGCTGCCTGAGCAAAGGAGCAACATTTCGGCACATGCCATGCTTGCTTCGGCGAAGAGAAGTGCAATTGCACCTCCTTTCACCTCTATAGGTCCTCCTCTGCTTATGACACGTTTTTAGCCATCAGTATGAAACAGACTCGTATTTTAACAACATGCAAGTGGAATTCACATGTCAAAAAATGGAGAAATTCTAAGGTGTGACCCTCATATTGACATATGATGTTACCAATATGTGTTTTACAATATGGGTAGACAACATGGTGTTTATTTATTTATTTTTACAACATTGTTTTTTACAATATAGGTAAACAACATGGTTGATATGTCAAGAACTTAGATTATAGTATTGATAGTATTGGTATATAGATACACAACTTATACTATGAGTGGATTGATAAAACCATGTGGCGGTGTAAACGTTACACCAAATGATTATTCAAGAAGTGTGCGAGAAAAAAGAAGAAGGAGAAGGCCTGTGGAGAAAACATCGGGTGCACATGATAAATGAAATGTGTACTCTGATCTCTACGTTCCATCCTTTGATTTCATTTTATAACTAATGAATCCTCACCCACCTTGCTCGCTTACTTGGAACTAGGTTTGACTTTCCCATGCAGGACATTTTGGAAAAATATTTTGAAAAGAAGCCAAAATGAACAAAAATGCCCTTATTTATTTTTGGATTTCCTAAGGAATCTCTTACATTTGTATGTCTTTTGTTTGAAAATTGAGGGGTTTTTCTATATTTTTTGGAAAAGTTTTGGTTTTTTCCAAAAGTGAGAGGTTTTTTGTGGCTAAAACTTAAATTTACTTTAAAGGGCACACTTCTTAGAAATCTTATGCAAAATTAAAGATTTCACTTGTAAATTGCATGATATACAAACTTTTTTATACCTCAAATTACACAAACACAATATGCTTGTGAATACAAAACAATTTACACAACTCATTTAATGAATTTTTTCGCTAAGTTTCACTTTTGCTAACAGTTTCGTTTAGGCTTGTCCCTAAGCCTAGCCTGGTAGAGAGCCAGATATAATTACTTACTTAAATGCCTTATGTTTTCTAAGAGATGTGGTGTTATAATGTTCTATGGTTGAACAATATAACTCTATGTTTCTTAGGAAGTACGACTCTTGATTGGGGCGTGACAACCCCATTAGGTTTCAAATTGTTTTCACAAAATTCGTTTTTGTTGATTGTTTGTCCAAAATTGATGATTTCATGTAAAAAAAAATTTACAAAAATGACCAAGTTAATTAAAATAATCAATCTTTAAATGGAAAATCAACAAAAAGAAATTTTGTGAAAACAATTTAAAACCTCAAGAAATATTAGTGCAAATAACTCTATTACTTACCCAGTTAACCGGTCATCACCTAACAGTCGTTAGATGCTTTCAAAACAAATTCAACAGTGAATACTACCTAGGCACTTGGTACATGTACATAGGAATACCCAAGAAAAATAGAAAATGATAGGGTATAGGAATGGCTGCAAGATTTTCATCACTGTAGGGACCAGAGGGGTCCCAGTCACCTTTCTCTCTCTCTCTCTCTCTCTCTCTGGCCTTTTGTTTTTTCCTTCCCTGTTATTTCTCTCTCTATTTTTTCTCTCTCTTGGTGTAAATAATTTTATGTTGTATTTATGAATTGAATATTGAAAGAGGACACAAGGTTTTTATATATAGAATAAGAACTTTGATGTTTGACTTTCATTTTAAGGGATATTGGTTCAGAAAAATGATGCGCAAGAAGCTCTGCGAGAACTTTGCAGTGTTTATACTTTCATTCCCTTCATTTTTATACAAGAAGCTCTAACATCAATTCCTGGCTCCGCAACTGAAACCATACATGATTAATGATGACCTGAACAGCGCCAGCCCAATTGAATTGAAGAAGATGAGGAACACCCAAAGGAAACGTGGATATCGACTCTTATAAGACCGAGAGAGAAGAGGCGAAGAAAACCAAAGGTTAAAGACGCCATCTTTTATTTTTGCATAAATTAAATTTGGAGGGGTCTTCTCCGTTCTTTATATCTTTATTTTTGAAATGTTTTTGTCTCGTTATTCCAGAATAAAATGTTTTTGTCACAACCCACAAGTCCAACAAAATCTCTGATGGGATATTCAGTATCCACTACGTCGTCGTTTTCCCACTTCTTCTCCGTCCCACCTTCTCTTCACACCTACACCATCAAAAATGGCGCGACGATCCCCTTCCTTTCTCTCTCCTCAATGCCGCTCCCTCGACTCTATCTCCGCCGCCGCGTCCCCCAAGACGCACCGTTTCACCTCGCTTCCGAAACCACCCGCAGAGCTTCATCAACAACTCGCAATGTCAAAGCCCAAGCTTCACTCCCAGACCCGCCCTCCTCTTCCTCCAAAACAAAACGCGTCGTTTTGGTCTCCGCTTTGACCATTGCTCTGGCCGTCGCCAACCGCGTGCTCTACAAGCTCGCTCTCGTCCCCATGAAAAACCACCCTTTCTTCTTGGCCCAATTCACAACCTTCGGGTATGAAAAAGAACCACACATTAATTAATTAATTATTTTACTTTCTTTTTTTTTCGGTTTGGAATTATTGGATTTGTAATGTGATCGGGAAAGTGGGTTTGTTTTGTGCGCAGCTACGTGATTATATATTTTTTGATATTGTTCGCACGATACCGTTCTGGGATTGTGACTGATGAAATGATAGGCCTTCCCAAATCACGGTTTGTGGCCATTGGTGCCTTGGAAGCCCTTGGAGTTGCTTCTGGGATGGCTGCTGCAGGTACCTCACCATTTTTTTTTTTTATATTAATATTAAAGTTGGGATTTTATTTTTGGGTACATTATTATGAGCCTATGCAATTTGATTGAATGGTGTTTTAGAATTTAAGCTAGATTTTCGTGGTTTTTGATTGAGATGAAGCAATACCAAGTTTGAATTGGTTGTGATGAGAAATCAAAGCAGAAAATGTGTTTTAGTAGTGATGATTTTGGTGTTTTATTTTTCTGAATTGTATTTATCCTCCACAGCCATGCTTCCCGGACCGGCAATACCCATATTGAGTCAGGTATTTTCCGTTATTCCAGCAAAAAATTAAAGATCAAGAAAGAAAAGAACATATATAGGTTATGCCCCATGTGGTATATTGGAGTTCAGGAATGGAGGGCTTCCCCATCACCATCAGCAGCATTGAGGCATGCCATATGTCATTAGAAAGATAATCTATTTCGTGAGAAAATATAAAGTATAATCAATGAGAGCAGTTTTTATGACGAAGGTGCTTGAAGGACAGAAACTTTGTGAAAAGATACCAGACGTGCACTATGGCCAAGGGTTTATTGGGGTTATCCTTGCAGCATTTGAGGTCAAGATAATTTTGTAGTAAAATATTGCTTAAAAGAGTTGAAGTGAAGAGAAAGGAAAGCTGCCTTAACCATTTAGTTTCCAGAAATGTTTATGGAAAGAGGAGAATAAGTCTAAACTTTCTTACAGTGTAAAATCATGTTAGATGCGACCATGCCAATTGGATTCGTCTAGCAGCTGATTTTTATATTTTTGGCTCAAGCCAGGTTGAGTTTGGTCAAGGATCCTAGATCCTATTCCAGTTTGGACTGAACTAATTTCTTATATGAACAATTAATGAACTAAATATTTTGGGGAAAGAAGTTCTGTTTTCCTTTTCCGTTAAATTGAATAATTAGAACTTAGCAGGGCTGCAGAATATTGTCCCCCAGCCCTGAATAGTTGGACAACGGGTTTCCCCGGTTATAATCTATTGTAATAGAGATATGAAGAGAAAAATGAAATTCAAAGAGTATATAATGAAACATTTACCTTAGTCTAGATCCAAAAGAATAATGTGCTTATTACTTTGAATATATTTTTTACCATTATTTTTGCAAAATTCCTCTCCTCATTTTTACTTTTACTTTTACGTCTCCATATTGTGCAGACGTTTTTGGTGTGGCAGCTGAGTTTTTCTGTCCTTCTTTTGGGGAGAAAATACACATTCAATCAGATCTCCGGCTGCATACTCGTAGCTATAGGTGTAGCAGTGGCTGTTACAAGGTACCTTGATCCCTTCTTCTACGGATTAAGAGCTGCTATTCTATTTCGTTAAATGTAATATTATATGGGTCCTCTGTCAATTAAGTGGAATGATTAGTGATACAGATCAAGGTCAATACTAGCAGTCACTTGGATATGGTTTACTTTAAATTTATGTAATACCTGCAAACGATAAATGATCTGCATGTTTATGCATCTGGTTCCAGCTGATATCAAAGCAAACATCAGAAAAATTGAATGTGGTTAACCATGACATACTAATTACATTTATACACTTGAAAAGAAGAATTTCGAAGAAAGAGGTCTTGTAAGATGTTTGAACAGTTTGACATCCGTTCTGTATTTTTTGTCCCAGTGCCAAATGCAATTTTGGAAATAAAGTGCCTGAATGTTTTGTTGAAAAAAAGAAGACAATTAACTGATGTTTTATCTGCTGATGATTAGATTAGCATCTGTTTTGAAAGTCTGCCTGCAGATTTTACTTCTAATAGGCATGCCTATTATACAATTTCCTGGAGAGTTTGTTTACATCTACCACCATTTTTCTTTTGGGCATTCTTTCATCTTTATCACAGTTCCTGAGATTCCAACAAGCTTCTGTATCATTTTATGTTAGAATAGCTACAAGTATCCCGTCTTCCTGTGAAGGTAGATTTTGATCATAAATGAAAGGTTTTCAGAATTGGAACTGAAATAGTTCTACTGGTGCATGAATATCATGATGATTCTCTGTTATCAGGGTTTTCTTGTTGTGCTATTCTTCCTTATTAGTGTGTTGAGTACCTTGTACTCATGGAGTTTTCAATGATATATGCAATGACGTAAGCTATTGATAGTCATATGTGTATTATGTAATTGCAGTGGGTCTGATTCGGGTCAGATGCTATCTGGAGTTGAGTCTATGTGGCCAGTACTAATGATTGCTTCAAGTGCTTTTCAAGCTGGTGCATCTATAATCAAGGTTAAACAATTAACATTTGTTATAAGTTCAGTGGTGCCCTTTATAACCAAAATAATCAATCTTGATGTTGTCTTCGAACAGGAGTTCGTCTTCGTTGATGCTGAGGCCCGCCTTAAGGTATGGCAATATTTTTTTCTTTTAAGTAATTAGCTGGCCTTCCAAATTGTTCTCAAATTTGTTCTCTGGTTGACAAGCTAATGCTGCATACTTTCTCAATTCATAAACCTTTTCAATTGCAGGATAAATCACTTGACATATTTGTTGTCAATTCTTTTGGATCTGGATTTCAGGTGATTACTGTGTTGATCTCTGTTAAGATAGTTTATGATATATTGTTTTCTTGTTTGTAATATCTTGATGCACCTCAGTTGGTGGCCTCATTGGTTATAAAGGAGACCCTACCAGAACTACAAAGATTTTTGGCATTATCTGATTTAGATTGATAGGTGTGTTGAGGGTCTCTTTAATTAGAAAATGACCATTGATAGGGGATTCTTTTTCCCTTAAATTATTTATGCTCGCTCAAATGTATGGGGGCTCACCGGTAGCATACGTGTCCACACCCAAAGTCAGGTTAATCAGGTTAACTGAAATGTCTTGTACATATTAAGTTGGATATAATTGAAAAAAAGACACTGGTTTTGCTAAAATTATTATTCTTTATTTCCCTTGACTTGTAGGCTCTTTTTATATTTCTCTTTCTACCATTCTTGTCAAAACTGAGAGGCATACCATTTGCGCAACTTCCTTCATATCTTAAAGATGGTGCTGGTTGCTTTCTGAATATTGGAGCTGATACATCAGGCAAGCTGTCATATCAATTTATTTATTTTCTGTAGTTTTGTAAATTAACTGGATTTGGGAGTGATGCAGGATGCGTAGGACCTAAATTTATTAGTTTCCTAGATAATCTAGTTTTCCAAATTCTAGTAGGATTTCTACTTTTTCAGATTTCCAGATTTCTAGTTTTAAGTTTCCTATTTCATTTGGGTTATGATTTCTGTTTAAGCAAGGGATTTTTATCCTCTTATGTCTAGGTTTTAGTTTGCTATAAATACCCCCATGTAGTTCTTTAAAAGGCAGATTTGGATATTGAGTAAACCTTCTCTTAAAACTATGTGATTTCTGTCCTTCCTTCTCGGTTCTCTGATTTCGGTCCTTTCTTTTGTCCCTTCAATCTATATTTTTGTCTCCTCGACTTCTGATATTCTTCTTGTTCTACTGTTCTGCCCATTCTTTCGTCTTTTCAAACTATATTTTCGTCTCCTCGATCTCTTATATTCTTCTATGTTCTATTGTTTGAGTGCTTAATCTAATACCTACGGGCTGTTCTACATCAGGGAGTTTGGTGTGACATACATGTTGTCATTGTATATACACTGATTTACATGGTCAATGATGATTGGTTTAATTATCTACTCTCCAGCCCATAAGTAATCTTAAATAATAATTGTTCCCAATCTGAAAACATTGATATTAATTGTTTGATACACATTTTAAGCATATGGATGTTCTCTTATCTGTTCTTCCTTTTAAATGATTCAATGCAATGAAAAACTATTATTGTATTGTGAGCAGGAAATATCGAATAGTAAGAGTAATCAAACTTGTTGGTTTGATATGCAAATTATAGTAACATCACAAGAATGCTAAAAGCTGATATGACACCAAGTTACATCTGAACAGTGTATATCATTTATGAGAACACGTGAAAGTGAGTGTTCGGTTGTTGATGATAAAATTTACCTACACGGTTTCATGACGTTTAGGAATTAATGATGGGAAATCCTATGAATTTCATGCATTGAAGAGACAAAAAGCTCATTTATAACCTGGCATGATGAAAATAAATTGTTGGTTTCCATAATGTAGTTCAATTTCAGTTGTTCAAAGTGATGGTTCTCGTCAAGATTAAAAGCTTCTTGAGGTTTTTTGAGTTTAAGTTCTTACCCATGCATTTGTCACTTGTTTCAGGTTGTAATGGGGCTCCATTGCTTCCGTTGCTTTACGTAGGTACCAATCTGTTTTTCAACATATCATTGCTGAGTGTAGTAAAGATTTCCTCTGCGGTTGTTGCTTCTCTCATTGTGATGTTGTCAGGTTCATTCTCTTTCACGCTTGTATACATACTTTTGAGCACTGGTCCCATAGTGGTTATGCTAAGTACTTAGTATTGTTGCTATATAGTCTGCATATACTTAACAGACCTTTCTACCTGACAGTTAATGCTTATGGGTTGGATATTTCATGATCATATTATTATGACCACATGTCAGTCACCAACCCTAATAGGGACTACACATAAGAACCATCAGTTACCTGATGAAGGGTACCTGGATGACCACCCATAAAAAGGTTTGGACATGAGGTTTGTTGAAGTTTGCCACGTGTGTGTATATATAGTTCCCTTTTATTGAGGGATCCCTCAAATCCAATTATCAACTCGACAGTTTTTGGCTTTTGGATTGGGATACTTTACATAGAGGACCTATTAGATATTCACATAAGCACTTGCGTTTGTGGTAGTTGTGGATGTATAAAAGCATTGGATCAAATCTGTGCTCTTGAATAAACTTCTGCTAATATAAGCTTTCGTTTATCTTGCAGTGCCGATATCGATTTATATTCTTTCCCTTCCATTGCCATATCTGGAAGCGGGTGCAACTTTGAGCCCCTTTTTCCTCTTTGGTAGCACGGTTCTTTTGTTGGGTCTTATTCTGTACAGCATGCCTCAGCCTGCCAAGGATGGCTCTGAAATTAGTTGACATTACATACTACACTGTTATAGATGTTATATTCTTATAGTCTCTTTAAGACCTGGAACACAACTCATTTTTTCCATCCCTGACTCTTTAAATTCAATTCTATCAATTCAAACAAAAAAAACAAAAACTTTAACCGGAACTTAAAAAATTGGAATGCAGTTAAAACTTCGATTACTCAGATTTTAACCTCATCAAATAGTAAGAAGCTTATTATCAATGGCGTTGGTTTCAGAAGATAGAATTGACTATGAAACTGACGCTATGGCTGTCTTTTCAACCAAGCAAGGCCAACTTCAAGGGATGCCGGAGCAATCTTCCGTTTCCCCTGGCACAGTAAAGTTGAACTGGAATGCAAGCTAAAAGTCAGGTCAAACTTCTCAGATTAAGGTTGGATTGACCCTTAATCCACCAACAATGGGATTTGAATGGTACTTTATAAACTGGTAATTGCATATAAAAGATTGACGCAAGATAAGTAAATCACTGAGAGGTGTCCTTTAATTTTAGGGTTAGGTTAGATAGCACATCGTGTATACGTAAACCTATTAATCTCATTCAGATTTCTGCAAAAGCAGAAACATACATATCTAGAAGAAGAAAAAAACCCATTAAAACAAATAATTCTGTTCAGTCCAAATAACAAAAATTTCCCCCTACTTGTTCACTCCCCCTCCCTCTTCTAATCAGCCCAGAAACTGCCGCTCAAAAGAAAAAGACAAAAACACTTCAGATTTGAAGGAAGCCATTTCATGCGACTATAGCAAAAGGAATTTAGATCAGCAAGGAAATCGTTGGAGTTGTCAGGCTGGTTTATCCTTCAACGCCTCATCTGCACAATGGGCCAAAATTGTCAATGCCTTCACTATAAGCAAATACTAGGGCAATAAACCTTTGCATAATATAAAATAATATATATATATATATATAAAAGAAAAATAAAGCCCGATAAAAAGCATAGGAAAATAAACACAACTAGAGAAGAAAAAAGATCAGAGTTTGTCTAGCAGCATATATAATGGAGAAAAACAAATGCAGGCATTCCTAGATAAGTTGGGATGGGGAAAGAAGTGCATAATCATGGCAAGTTATAGCCCACTGCCAATACTCTAATAAGCATAGTGCAGTCATTCATCAACAGAGTCTCAATTAAATGCCATAACAATCCTTTTCCAGATTATCTAGGGGCTGATTTCATGATTCAAGCATGAAGCATATATATTAGCTAAAGTTTTTCATACAAAGACAAATAAGGGAGCCTCCATAAATGATTTGTGTACAAAAACACATGCATGCCCATGAGAACAGGAACTGCCTTCTCATTTTCAAGAGGCTTTTAATTAACTAAACTTCGAAATCATATATTTAGTACAACCAACCACTTAATGGATATATAAGAAAGTTATCACAGACAGACAACATGAGCACAAATCCCTAACAACCACGCTAGATTAAAGTTCAAGTGAAACAGAACTTCATGGATGCAGTTGATTCAGAGCAAAAGAGGAGAATATATATTTCATAAATTAAATTTGATCTTTATTCTGAGACCAACATGATATACCTTGCGCTTCTTATGTCTTCCCCCCATTCCACCCCTGGCACTACTGAAGCTTGGAATCTGCCCATCATTTTCATCTTCCAAAGGTAAAGTTTTGATTTCATCATAGAAATTGTCTGTCAAACCAAGCAACCTGTCATATACAAGTTCAGAACAGTCAGCCAACAACAAATTCTACCCAAATAAATTTGACATAATTGAGAATAATACCATAAATTAATTTTAAGGGAGATTCACTATCATACCCAATATAGGAGCCCAAATTATAAAAAAACCCTATATGAAATGGACTTTAGAAACACACTCAAAGCCCATTTACAACATAACAAAAAGGCTTATAACTTCTTTTAAATTACAAAACTGCCATTGATTTCTTAAAACAAACTCAACCCCAAAACCTCATAAAAAAGCCCAAAACACTTAAGAGGGCATCAAAATATTTTAATAATCAAAATTAAATTCAATAGGGTCAGCTATCATTTTTTGGGTTTTTTTTTGGGTTTGTTTATAGAAATTAAATGGTGTAGGGTTTATTTATAGTTTTAGTGCTAAGAATGGGTATATGACTAAATATCGTGCATACCCATTTCTTGACTTCTTTAAGTGTTTCTCCCTCTGTTTCTCCTTCTTTGTAATAGGAGCACGCATAAAAAGCTCCTCTTCTTGCCGTGCACGGTCCTCCATCTTTGCCCTGTATCTGGCTAGTTCTAAACTTTCAGCTCCAACACTTTCTACAATCTGTAATATGACATAATAGTAAGCAATTATGAGAAAATCCAGCTTTCACGCCTTGTAACCCCACAAAAACAGTGCACAACAAACCTCTTCAGGCCTCCCCTCCAAATCATCCACCAGTTCCCTAACAAAAGCACTCTGCCTAGCTTGCCGTAGAGTATTCTTTTCCTTTCTCAATGCATTTTTGTCCTGCTTTGACAACTTATCTTCCTCCATCGAAGTGGGGGCAAATTTGGGAGGTCGATACACATCATTACCATCCTACAATACATAAAGAGAAGAAAAAACCTTTTAAATGGTCCAGCAGGTGGGAAAAGAGGAATTCAAATACTGTACTGATGTGCATTTCACCTTAGAAGTCACATCTGCTTTGCTAACAAGCATGTCAGGGTTTGGGCGATATTTCAACAAATCATCTGTTTGCTGAGGCACACCCGCTTGTGATTCCTTTTCACCTGGCTGTACATTCTCAGTTGTGCTTGCAGTAACCTTGGTGAGCTTCTCGATTTGATACTGTAACTTCTTGTCAATGGGTCGAATCTTTTGCAACCAAAAGGGTGAGAACTGATTAGTGACTGATTACACAGGTTACCAGAATGGCAGGAGAAAGAAAAACAGATACCAAGAAGTCCATACCTTTTCCAGAAACAACCTTATCTCCACAAGGCTCTGAACAACGGGATGGCCATTTATTGAGAACCCTCTAGCCTTGCGAAGCAAGTAATAGACAAGTGACTGGCAATAGTTTAAGAGCAGCAAATGCTTGGCTTCAAGATAGCTTATCCCTTCCACTGTTGGATAATTATTTGATTTCACCTGATACATGGAGAAGAAAAATAAAAATGACACATGTGCCTTAGCGTGCTTGGTATACTAACATGCCCGTTGGGATTTCTATAATCTCCAATTGTTTTAAGGAAATATTGATTCTGCAAAAAGTGAGAAACTTATAAGAAAAACAAGCTTTTTTGTGGAAATGCTTTTTCCAGCCCTTGCATTAAGTTTAGGCCTCAATGAAATGCTTTTTCCAGCCCTTGCGTTAAGTTTAGATATGGTTTTCCTAAAACCTAACAAGTGGCAGAAATTTTTAGAAAGCAAACATTTCTACACCGCGAGAAATGGAGCCACAGCGAAATTACAATGACCCAAGAAACAGGGACATATTTACCTTTGCAGTTAAAGCTTGGACTTTGATCCTCACTGTATCTAATCCTTCCTTCATTTCTTTCAGCACAGCAGCAAGCTGAGGAGCTTCTCTGAAAAACAGAAGCAATAGAAGTAACAAATTTGACTATCAAATCCAATTAGCATTTAGCATCATTGCACCTTCACAAGTTTAACTTACGCCTTTACTCTATCTTCAGAGCTTGCGTTTGAAATTGTAGCGTCCTCCATGCCTTTGAAGCTTTACTTTTCTATGCAATTGGTAAAAATATTAATCAGAAGCCTTTCAAGAATAGAAAAATATGAACACAATACTCATGGATGTGGGCTCTTTCAAGAATTCCTTGCCAAAGAAACATAACTGGTAACTATGATAAATAAATTACGGTTCCATAAATCAAACAAAACCTTCAGAATTCCCAGATAATTATTTTTGTTATAATTTTTTGCGGATAAAAATACAAATTTAACGAGACATAATAATATCCAAAATTGATAAAAAATAAAAAAAAAAGAACGGAGCAACTAAATCAGGGATTGAAATGCTCATTTGGGTAGCCCTAAATTTCCACTTTACCATACAGACAGCTCAAAGGAGCTCAGCAAGCACATGCCTTTTGCCCAATCTTTGCGGTGGAAAACATCAACAAAACATAGAGCTTGATGAGAGAGAGAGAGAGAGAGAGAGAGAGAGAGAGAGTAAATCAGCAGAGGAAGAAGAAGATGAGAGAGACCTGAGAGAGAGAGATAGCGGCTGTGGCCTGGACTGTTAGTGGGAGGAAGACAGGCTGCGCTGCGAGAGAGACCGTGACGAAGAGAAGCAGCGAGGAGGAAGGTGTTGTGCTTGAGGTTTTAGTTTGGCTCTTTTTTTCCAAGAACAGAAAAGAAAAGAAAAAAGGGGTTTAGGACCTACGCATCAAAATTTAAGCCCTAGCACTAAACCTCCCGCTTTTATTTTATTTTATTTTATTTATTTGGAAAATTAGTACAAATAGAGTTATTTACCTTAACATTTCATGATATTTTCGGTATTTTCATAAAATCTTTTAGGTTCCAAAAATTAATAATTTTATATAATACAAAATTAAGCAAATGACAAATTTAACTTTAATGAATATATGTGCAATATAATATAATATCAGACACTAACTTTGCCATTTGTATAATTTTTTTATTATATAAAATCATCAATATTTGGACCAAAAATCAATAAAAATTAGTTTTAATAAAATTTAAAATTTCATGAGGTGTTCGTATAATTTTTTAAACTTCAAGAGTTTTGTGAAAATACTAAACACCTCAAGGAGTGTTAATGTAAATAATTCATACAAATACTAATAAGAGTATATATGTGACATTTTTTTTTATATGAAAGATGTATATATATGATATGTTAATTGAATTGGCCCAGATTTTTGAGGTGCTTTCAAGCGGTCATGAAATTTTGTGTGTCGTTGTCACTTTTATCCAATTCCGTTAAATATCTATAGAGAAAATGAAAAAAGTTTTTAGACACCCAACTTCATAAAAATTTGTACATAAAGCTCCTATTGTATCCCTTTAATTAAAAAGCAAAAATGAAAATAAAGACACG